ACACACCTTCAGGCTGTGTAAGGGCTATTTGACCAAGAAGGAGAGTGATGGAGTGCTGCATCAGATGACCTGGCCTTCCACAATCACCTGACCTCAACCCAATTGAGATGGTGTTGGATGAGTTGGACCGCAGAGTGAAGGAAAAGCAGCCAACAAGTGCTCAGCACATGTGGGAACTCATTCAAGACGGTTGGAAAAGCATTCCAGATGAAGCTGGTTGAGAGAAAGCCAAGAGTGTGCAAAGCTGTTATCAAGTCAAAGGGTGGTTACTTTGAAGAATCTCAAATCTAAAATATATTTTGATTTGTTTAACACTTTTTTGGTTACTACATGAATCCATATGTGTTATTTCATAGTTTTGATGTCTTCACTATTATTCTACAATGTAGAAAATAGTAAAAATAAAGAAAAACCCTTGAATGATTAGGTGTGTCCAAACTTTTGACTGGTACTGTATTTATATACACATTCCTGCAAATCGTATGATATTTTACTAATGCCAATTCGTACAATATGTTACGAATTTGAAAGTGCTTAAGATCCCGTTAAAATCTCTATTATTGAATGCGGGCATTTTTCTAATATTCCGTACTCTGACATTGCTCTTTTAGATTTTTCTTAATCTCTTTATTTTCATTATTTGAAGTTGTGTTTATTATTTTGTATTGTTAGGTATTACTGCACTGTAGGAGCTGGAAACATAAGCATTTCACTGCACCTGCGATAACATCTGCAAAATATGTGTATGCAACGAATAACATATGGTTTGATTTTATGTTGATGAGTTAGCCCTGCATAGGATTTAAAACCAGCCTCGGCCCGATTAAAATGTTGTTTTGGTCTAATGGTTAAGCGTTGGGTTCCCGAGCGGGAGACTGGGGTTCACATCCTGCTTGAGCATTTAATCAAATGGCTACTAAAGCCACTTTGCAATGCAAGGAGCCTATGAGTTAGAATTGTTTACAATTGCTGTGAAACATTTCTAAAGCTGTGCTTCAATCAGACAAGAACTGTGGCTGGCACACATCTTTTACTTTCAACCCGTTTCATGAACAAAAGTACTGAATGATACACTAGTTTTTCTACTTGCATTTGAATATAATGTCCTGCTATTTCAACAAAGTAAAGGCTATGCCACAGTTCGGCATGCTATGGACATTTGGTGGTGAATGTTGGTCTGAGGCAACATCAGGTAAAGGTGTACTTACTGCTCCGTAAGAGACCTCCAAAATCTTATCTTGAAGAACAATCTGGACTTAGTAGTCATGTACTCTTATAATCTCCACCCCGCGCAGCCAGAAGAGGACTGGCCACCCCTCAGAGCCTGGTTCCTCTCTAGGTTTCTTCCTAGGCTCCTGCCTTTCTAGGGAGTTTTTCCCAGCCACCATGCTTCTACATCTGCATTGCTTGCTGTTTGGGGTTTTTAGGCTGGGTTTCTGTATAAGCACTTTGTGACATCTGCTGATGTATAAAGGGCTTTATAAATACATTTGATTTTATTTATTGGGTCAGTGGAGCAATACACAGCAACAGACAGAATATCAAAAGAGATGAGCCCAGCATCAAAAGCCCTGGAACTAAGCAGCTAACTATTGGCTACTAAGCAAAATGATCTCATGGCTTTGGACCATGGCTTTGGACCTGACCTGATACCATGTAGTCAAGTGTATGCTGTACAACCAATGCAGTATATCAACCAATAGCAGGCATGTTACAAATACTTTGGGAGATGTGCATAAGTACAAGGGTCTCTAAACTATAATTAAGCAACAAGGACCAAGGGGGTGTGGTTTATTGGCCATTATAAACTGGGTGGTTCCAACCCTGAATGCTGATTGGCTGACAGCTGTGGTATATGAGACTGTATACCATGGGTATGACAAAATATTTATTTGTACTGCTCTAATTACGTTGGTAACCAGTTTATAATAGCAATAAAGCACCTTGGGGGTTTGTGATATATGGCCAATATACCACGGCTAATGGCTGTATCCAGGCACTCTGCAATGCGTTGTGCCTAAGAACAGCCCTTAGCTGTGGTATTTTGGCCATATACCACACCCCCTCATGCCTTATTGCTTAAATATACCACAGCTAAGGGCTTGTAACAATGGTTAATACAATAACATGGTTAATGTAATAACTTTTCAAAATGTAATACCTTTTAGATTTTTTACGTAATAAAGCCGGGTTAATATAATAACTTACCGGATAACGTAATAAAATGTTGAATGGGTAACGTAATAACTTTCTCTGCTTAATGTAATAAGTTAATACGTTATCCAGTGGTTATTAGGTTATCAGGTGAGTCACAACTTTTTGGATGAATAATGTAATAACTTCAATCGATCATGTAATAACATACCAAAATGTTTTTATGTATTACTTCCCTCAATTTGATGCACATACCACCACAACCGCCAATTACAAACACACTCATGCACATTATGCAGGAATACTCATACATAGGCTGCGTTTACACAGGCAGCCCAATTCTGATCTTTTTTCACTAATTGGTCTTTTGACCAATCAGATCTCAAATTAAAGACCAATTAGTGGAAATAAATATTAGAATTGGGCTGCCTGTGTAAACACAGCCTTAGAGACACACTCACAAGCACATATTGAAATGTACACACACAGGTGTGAACACACACTAAAGTGTGACACAGTTTTTTTTACTTGTTCTATAAGATATACTGAACATGAGATTTATATCATAACATTTCTCATTCGGTTCCTAATTGACCTAGCTATAACACCTCTTTTTTTAAACTAAAAGTCATTGACATACAGAAAGTATGATCGTCTCACTTAACAGTAAAACAGACGTATCTATCCAATTGAAATGATTACCTTTAACCTGATGTTGTGATTGTGGGTCATGTTGTTGCTGGTCCACATTTCTTTCTGTCTTTGTTATGGTTCGTTGGGTTCTATTAGCAAACCATCCGTTCATCAAAAATGTCAATTGGCTCAACAACCAAATGTTCACATTGTTGCTGTGGATTTCGTTATACCCACAATTCACGGTTAAATCTGTGCGTGCAAACATTTTATAAAAGAAGCCCCTGGTCTCCCATCCAGGGAGCAAGTAGCACCAACCCTGCTTAGCTTCAGAAGCAAGCCAATGTATGAATTTATGGTTGGATCAGAACCGCCATTATAATAATAGGCCAGGATGGAGAATTAAGTAAAACCACAAGTCCAGGTAGCCAGGACAACAAAAACGAAAAGTGTGTACTGTATGATAGAGTCATAGACCGTTTCGTCAACATGAAAGAGAGGAGGATGGCATCGGCGCTTCTCTACAAATAGGGTGAGTCAACATGTTTTTTCTACTTGCACGGGTGCACACACACACACACACAGAAATCAAAACCATGGACAGCCACATCATATTTAGCTTACGTTGATTGAACTAAATAGTTTTAGGTATATTTTAGTTGTGACTGTATTAGACTAAGCATAGGTGATTTGATTAAATGGTGCTGGAATAGTGGAGGCAGCTCCTGTTTTCTTTGCGACTTGCGGTAACTCTCCATGGTTCTAAATCAATAGTTGTTTAGTAGTCCGAAAATGTTGGTAACATTAACTTGCTTGACCATGCTTGACCATGCTGTGTGTTACATGCAATTTGCTTTGTGGACATCACCGGACAGAGGTTACTCTCCGGTTTTGTGATGAAACAAAGGTGTCTTCCATGCAGGCATAGTGAGACTGAGAGTCCATTGGGCTTTTGTTGTGTGGTAGAAAAACCAGACAAGCAAGTTGGCTGAAGGGAAGGAGGGGGAGTGTGAAGGAGGAGGGTTGGGATACTAAAATCCTATGTCTGCTCCTCAAAACGAAATGACACAGCACCACCTAGGGCTAGGCTATTAGTCACCATGTAACAATGCTGTGTTTATTTTGGTGCTGCTCTGGGTTGGTGTCATCCTACAGATAGCCTCCTTGATAGGCTATCTCTATTAGAGGAAAATTCCATATGGCAACAGCGACATCCCCTGACAAGTTTGTAGTTTGAGTTAAAAAATGTGTGAAAAGGTAAATCCCATGAATGCAATGTATTGATATAGTTCAAACTAATAAAGCATTGCAGTGTCTGCATAAACGTAAATTCACAACTTTGTTTACTAAAATGTTCATTTAAATAATGTGCATGAATGTTCTGTTTGTTATTGTGTAACTTAGGCTACACATTAGAACATGTAATTAAGTCACTTTAAGGATGTGAGTGTCAGTCAGTGTAATGCCTGCGCGTATAGCTTTTAAATCATGCAAGGCAATCATTTAGCCAAGGTTACTGTAGGCTACACCAGGGGTTTTCAAACTTTTCTTCCACGGGGACCCCCGCCCAGGCAAACCGGGGACCCAGGGACCCCCATCATATGTTAGCACAAAAAATAAAAGTAATGACTTGTCAAGTACAAGTAATCAATTTTAAAATGAATAGATTTGGTAGACATTATTTGACCTCCCCCACAGTTCATTGGAAGAGGAAGTGTCAACTCTAACATAGCCTATTAGCTAGAAAGGTACATTGCAGTGGAGAATGTTGCTGTTGTAATGCTAATGATCTGCAATTCTGCACATTTTCCCATTGAGATGAGAGAACATTTTTCAGATTTTAAGCAAATTTCCAGCAATTCTACATTTTGGCATGGAGCTAAGAGACAATTTTGCAGTTTTAAAGCAAATTTCCTGCAATTCTATGCATTTTGCCAAACTACAAAATCAATGAGCATGTGTCATTAATGCCCGTTTATTTTTTCATTTTCGATTCTCCCTGACTGTCTAGTCTTTATTTGATTGTTAGATTGTTAGTTCTCAAAGATGGTATTATGAAAAAAATATATATTTTCAATATATTTTCTGCATGCTTTTTATCTGGCCGCGAATCCCAGTTTGAAAACCCCTGGGCTACACTGTACTACAACGTATAATCGGGAAGGGAGCATGGCAGTACCGGCGGCTAGATACTGAGTTTCCTGAAGTCCCACATGGAGATGGAATTCATGTTGGAGGCCCAGGCAAGGAAGAGGGCAGATGGCGAAAAGAAGCAGAAAGAAGGGTGCGAGGTGCAAACCCAAACCGACTGCGAATTACAAGCCGAGTACTTTCTCCTTTAGGTCAAGTTCAGGAGAGAAAATTGCATGTTACGCACCTGAAAACACTTAGCAGTCGACGGATAGTGAACTTGAAATTGAACCTGACAAAAGTCAGGAGGAAGAACCTGCGTCGTCAGCTGAGGTGAAGGCTTCTTAATCTCACCCCAATGATCAGGAAAATGCCCGGGATGACTGGCCCAGTGGGAGTACGATTCGTGGAGAAAGTATATCCATGCCTTTTGGATGATCCGTTTATGGAAGGAGTTGGGTTCTGTCAATTCAATCAAAGTATCCTGAGGGGGATTTTGTGTGGCTGGTGCTCAGAGGGAGAGGGCGTTTCGAGACTCGGGATAAAAGCAGTGTCTTTCCACTGGTCCTGCTTTACTCTCGAGAGCAGAGTGCCGCTGAAAGGAGTGATAACTGGGGTGGGGTTGAGTGTTAAGTTGGATCGATGGAAGTTGGGGATCCCCGTTGTCTGTGATGCGTGCCATTTGGTGCGACGCAGACGTTTCGGTGGAAAAAAAATTGTGTTTAAATTTTGGGGGTGGCAATATTGCTGGGGATCAGAAATGTCCTGTGCAAGTGAGACAGATTGAAGTTTCCAGGGTGAGAGCAGTGCAGAATGTGTCATATGCTGATACAGTGAGGAAAGTAGAGGTTAGTGGGCAAAGGGTGAGGGAGTGTGAGAGGATCCCTGTGAGTAGTAGGCCAGTACAGAGTGACCTGGACAGTTTCTTGGTGTTTATTACTATGGTCATTAATTGTACCACACAGATGGAAAGGAAATCCCAGAAGATTGAATCGGTAGTAGCAGCAGCAGAGAAGTTTTTGGGTGTCAGAGATTTTAGTGCAGAAGAACTACAGGCGGTTTAGAGAGAAGGGGGTCCAGCCTCCCAGGCCGACGGCCTGGTGTAGGATCTGTTTGGGCCAAGGTAGTGGGAAGGGGTGTTGGGGATAGTGGTACATACACTGAGTGTACAAAACATTAAGGACACCTGCTCTTTCCATGACAGACTGACCAGGTGAATCCAGGAGAAAGATGTTCCTCGGGGGCCGGAGTGGTGTCACACTTTTTCCCCATCCCTAGCAAACACAGCTGATTAAACTAATTACATTCTAAACTGAAGATCCTGATTATTGGAATCCGGTGTGTTGTTTTTATTGTATTTTTTATTTAACCTTTATTTAACTAGGCAAGTCAGTTAAGAACTAATTCTTATTTACAATGACGGCCTACACCGGGCCAAACCCGGACGACGCTGGGCCAATTGTGCGCCGCCCTATGGGAGCTGGGGCTGGGGCAAAAGTGTGACACCAATAAGGCCCCCGAGGACTAGAGTTGCCTATCCCTGTGTAATATGGTGGTGCAATTTGTAAATACAATTAATTTCCCTTTTCTTTGTGAACGAATGTGCAATGCACTTTCCAAACTGTGAAAGGCAGCAATATGCAACATAGTGTCTAGTCTGCCGGAAAGCCACACGAAGAAGAGGCGCAGTTTAGATACACAATAGCAGCCCAGGGCACTTGCACAACCCACTGTGTATTTCCGTGTTACTTCCTTGTTCTGTCTTTGGTATTTTTCTGGAAAGAAATGTGTAGACAGCGGTAAAATTGTTTGATTCGGCTACTTATCAACGCGAGCGACACAAGTCTAATCATTTTTTTCTTTAGTACCCCGCCTTGCGGTTACTAATCGGGGCAGACCCGCTGAGGAGATCAGGAGCTGTAGGACTTCTTCGCCCCAGTACTTCTCGTCGATGGCAGACTCCCGAGAAAGAAGGAAAACTGGCGAAGATGAGCCTCAGGGTGCAGTCGGGGGTGAAGGTAAATATTAATATGCGCTTGGGACTTTGAAAGGACGTCACCTGAAAAAATAATATCTAAAATATTGTCAACTAACTAACTATAGGGTCCCGTCAGAATCCTTAGTTGCGGTCAAAGCTATACTTCATGTTGTTCCCTGATCTTTCAGCATGTAGGCCTAGTTCTAGACTAATTAGAGAGATGGTGAAAACAGTCTTAGTGAGGTAGGCTATTTCAACGACTTAAAAATCTAGCACTAAAAATCAAGAACTATTTTGGCCTACACACTTTTGGAGCCTGGAAGGCCATATGAATGTCCTCTGACGTCACTTCACTGTAACAAATGTGAAAGAAAAAGTGTAATAAGAGGTCAAATCAACATCTTAAAGTCGGAACTCTTGAAAGAGTCCGGAGTTGGATGACTTGAAATCGATTTTTTTCAGTTGGAGCTAGTTTTTTTTCCCGAGTTCCCAGTGGTTTTGAACGCACTGAAGTTGGAAGTCAGAGATTTCCGAGCTCCCAGTTGTTTTGAACGCGGCATAACTCTAACCCCCAAGTAAAGTGACTTACAAAGTCTACATCATAAAGCAAACATGCAGGTCCTGGGAGTGAGAAAGTCTCTGCCAATTGAATTGGAGCACAATGCATGATAAACACATCTATCTAATCACCACAATAAACTGTCATCATGTCATTAAACATTGATAATAAAAACATAATATCACTAACAAAATCTTTGTAACAGACGTCATCGACGACAGAATTATGGAACAAGGAGCTGTTGTTTTAAGAGGGTAAATAAACATAGCACTATTACCATTAGTATCCATCCTGATTATCACATTATCCATTTTCCAAAAATATTTGTATTTTTTAATCCATGAAGGTATGTCATAGAGAGGATCAGTGCAGAGAACCCAGAGAGGCGTTTGGCTCCAGAGGACCTTGGTGGCAGACCCAACGAACTAGAGGACCGCCAGGTCAAAGACGTGGTACACCAGCTGCTGCTGATCGCTGATGACCTGAACAGAAATGCTGAGCTACAACAGTATGACCTTATTTTCTACTGAATTAGCATATTAGCTACAGTGCCTTCAGAAAGTATTCATACCCCTTGACTTATTCAACATGTTGTTTCAGCCTGAATTCAAAATGGGTTAAATTGTTGTTTTTCTTAGCCAGCTACACACAATATCCCATAATGACAAACGTACATTTTTTATTTTTTATGTTTGAAAAATGATTGAAAATTAAATACAGAAATAGCTCATTTACATAACTATTCATACCCCTGAGTCAATACTTTGTACAATCACCTTTGGCAGCGGTTACAGCTGTGAGTCTTTCTGGGTAACTCTCAAAGCGCTTTCCACACCTGGACATTTCCCCATTTATTATTTTCAAAATTCTTCAAGCTCTGTCAAATTGGTTGTTGATCATTGCTAGACAACCATTTTCAGGTCTTGCCATAGATTTTCAAGTAGATTTAAGTCGAAACTGTAACTCGGCCACTCAGGAACATTCACTGTCTTCTTGGTAAGCAACTCTAGTATAGATTTGGCCTTGTGTTTTAGGTTATTGTCCTGCTGAAAGGTGAATCTCCCAGTGTCTGATGGAAAGCAGACTGAACCAGGTTTTCCTCTAGGATTTTTGCCTGTGCTTAGCTCCATTTCGTTTACATTTACATTTTAGTCATTTAGCAGACACTCTTATCCAGAGCGACTTACAGTTAGTGAGTGCATACATTATTTTTTTAAAAATGTTTTTATACTGGCCCCCCATGGGAATTGAAACCACAACCCTGGCATTGCAAACGCCATGCTCTACCAACTGAGCTACATCCCTGTCGGCCATTCCCTCCCCTAGACGACGCTGGGCCAATTGTGCGCCGCCCCATGGGTCTCCCGGTCGCGGCCAGCTACGACAGAGCCTGGATTCGAACCTGGATCTCTAGTGGCACAGCCTTAGACCAATGCGCCACTCGGGAGACCGACTGTTTTATCCTGACAAACTCCCCAGTCCTTAATGATTACAAGCATACCCATAACATGATGCAGAGAGTGGTACTCAGTAATGTGTTGTATTGAATTTGCCTTAAAAATAACACTTTGTATTCAGGACAATAAGTGAATTGCTTCGCCACATTTTTTGCAGTATTACTTTAGTGCCTTGTTGAAAACAGGATGCATGTTTTGGAATATTTGTATTCTGTACAGGCTTCCTTCTTTTCACTCTGTCAATTAGGTTAGTATTGTGGAGTAGCTACAATGTTGTTGATCCATCCTCAGTTTTCTCCTATCACAGCCTATAAACTCTGTAACTATTTTAAAGTCACCTTTGGCCTCATGGTGAAATCCCTGAGCAGTTTCCTTCCTCTTCGGCAACTGAATTAGGAAGGAAGCCTGTATCTTTGTAGTGACTGGGTGTATTGATACACCATCCAAAGTGTAATTAATAACTTCACCATGCTCAAAGGATATTCAATGTCTTGTTTAGTTTTTTACACATCTACCCTTCTTTGCGAGGCATTGGAAAACCTCCCTGGTCTTCGTGGTTTGATTCTGTGTTTGAAATTCACTGCTCAACTACGGGACCTTATGTAACTTGTTAAGCACATTTTTACACCTGAACTTACAGTATTTAGGCTTCCCATAACAAAGGGGTTGAATACTTACGGACTCATGACATTTCAGCTTTTAATTTTTAATTAATTAATTAACATTTCGAAAAAACATAATTCCACTTTGACGTTATGGGGTATTGTGTGTGTGTGTAGGCCCGTGACAAAAAAATCTCAATTTAATCCATTTTAAATTCAGGCTGTAATACAACAAAATGTGGAAGTCAAGAGGTGTGAATACCTTCTGAAGGCACTGTATTTGGCTGGTCTATGTTATGGTGGTTGTTTAATGTACTATTATTTTACTCAAACAAAAAGATTGTTAAACCTGGATGTGAACACAAATGAGTGTATTCCCATATCCTATCGTAGTGGTCTGGCAAATTAAGAACTTTATTATTTTATAATTGTTTCATTTCCTTGACAACAAGAAATATGGAAAGAGAAACTCTCTTACTTTTCCTCAGTTTCTAATTATTTGTCTCTCCTTCCTCTGACAGCCTAATAAGCAGAGTCCAGGTAAACTGTGCCCAGGACGTGTTCTTCTCAGTGGCCAGGGAAATCTTTGCAGATGGTATCAACTGGGGCAGAGTGGTCTCCCTGTTTCACTTGGCCTACAAGCTTATTTACAAGGTAACACCCGGAATGTGCATGTTACTGAATATGAAATCATTGAAACTTACAAATGTAAAGTAGAATAAATCACCCCTCACAATATATATTTGTTATCCCCCTTTCCAAGGCACTGACACAGAACCACTTAGAAATCATCAAGAAGGTTATTAGCTGGGTATTACAGTTCATCAGGGAAAATGTCTCCGCTTGGATCCGACAGCAAGGAGGATGGGTGAGTACCCTGCTGGAATATGCCAACATGTCTACCCATGAAGACTCCACCACCAGATGTACAATGAGACCATATTTTATTTAAAATACCACAAGAGCAGAGACACTGTCACAATCAGTACATACATGCAGTAAAGAGATCAATTGAACACAGACCGTGGGGGATAGAAGGAGGACGCCGTCATTGGTGCCCATTCAAAAAAGCTGATCTAACAAAGTGGATATTCGTAAAATCCGGTCATGATTTATGTGTTCGAAAAGGCCCACAATATGGTTACTAAAATCTGATTTGCTGCATTATATTTAGAAGATGTCCTTTTTGTGTTTAGAAAATATGTCTGCTAAATGTTAACCACTGTTCGGATAAGCTGATAGCATAGCTAGCCATATAGAAATCAGTGGTGGTATTTGAAGTTGCTTTTAAGTGTAATACAATTGATTGGTAAAGATGACATGAACATGTATTGCGATTGACATCCATACAAGCATTGTACAATATTTTTTTACCCCAACATGGTGTCAAATACACATATAAACTATAGCTTAAATGTAGGATAAATTTGATGGCCGGTAATGGGGAGATTCTGGATCTATCCCCCATGGCGTTTCCATGGCCTTTCCATTGTTTTGGTCGAACTCTCAACTGATCTAATCAAGAATGCACATCTGACAAGTATAGACATAAGTCACACGTCCCATCTGACAAACAAAAATGTAAAGGATGCTAGTTGATAAGTTCTTGTACATACTACGTATGGTGACTCTCAAGAGGAGGAAGCACTCACTCCTACTCAAATACGACCATGCACATACACTACCAGTCAAAAGTTTGGACACCTACTCATTCAAGGGTTTTTTCTTTATTTGTACTATTTTTTACATTGTATAATAATAGTGAAGACCTCAAAACTATGAAATAACACATGGAATCATGTAGTAACCAAAAAAGTGTTAAACAAATCAAAATATATTTTATATTTGAGATTCTTCAAATAGCCACCCTTTGCCTTGATGACAGCTTTGCACACTCTTGGCATTCTCTCAACCAGCTTCACCTGGAATGCTTTTCCAACAGTCTTGAAGGAGTTCCCACATATGCTGAGTGCATTTTGGCTGCTTTTCCTTCACTCTGCGGTCCAACTCATCCCCAACCATGCTTTACGGTGGGAAATACACATGCGGAGATCATCCGTTCACCCACACCGCGTCTCACAAAGCCATGGCGGTTGGAACCAAACATCTCCAATTTGGATTCCAGACCAAAGGACAAATTTCCACCAGTCTAATGTCCATTGCTCGTGTTTCTTGGCCCAAGCAAGTCTCTTCTTATTATTGGTGTCCTTTAATAGTGGTTTCTTTGCAGCAATTTGACCATGAAGGCCTGATTCACACAGTCTCCTCTGAACAGTTGATGTTGAGATGTGTCTGTTACTTGAACTCTGTGAAGCATTTATTTGGGCTGCAATTTCTGAGGCTGGTAACTCTAATGAACTTATCCTCTGCAGAAGAGGTAGCTATGGGTCTTCCATTCCTGTGGGGGTCCTCATGAGAGCAAGTTTCATCATAGCGCTTGATGGTTTTTGCGAAAGAAAGAAAGAAAGAAAGAAACTTTCAAAGTTCTTGAAATGACCTTCATGTCTTAAAGTAATGATGGACTGTTGTTTTCTCTTTGCTTATTTGAGCTGTTTTTGCCATAATATGGACTTGGTCTTTTACCAAATAGGGCTATCTTCTGTATACCCCCCCCCCCCCCTACCTTGTCACAACACAACTGATTGGCTCAAACGCATTAAGAAGGAAATGCATTCAGCAAAAGGGTGGCTATTTGAAGAATCTCAAATGTAAAAATATATTTTCATTTGTTTAACACCTTTTTGGTTACTACATGATTCCATATGTGTTATTTCATAGTTTTGATGTCTTCACTATTATTCTACAATGTAGAAAATAGTAAAAATAAAGAAAACCCCTGGAATGAGTAGGTGTGTCCAAACTTTTGACTGGTACTGTATGGGTACTCAAGACAGCACTGTGTGCACATGTAATGCAGAGGCTCCGGAAGGAGGTCCTGCTTGTGGGTTTTCCGTTTTACCACACAGATGGAGTTATTAAATGAAGCTGCACCAGGGATTGGAGGGGGTGTTAGAGAGGGACTTCAAACGTCACACAGCACATTGGGGCCATTGGCCAATACAGGCAGCTCTGATGTGGGTAACACCGAGCGCAGCTACCTGTGCCAATGTCACAGTACTGTCAGTTCATAAAGCTAAGCTTGTTTGATGATGATTAACCTTGCCTCACACCTATAGATCCCAGAACTAGCACTAAGGCTTTAGCTCAGCACGCTGAATGGTATTGAGTCCAGCCTATGACTATGGTTAGTAGGGACAATGTAATGGTTCCACTGTTGTATGTGTGGTTGACTTTTCTTTTTGCTTGCAGGAGGCGGTTATTAGCACCGTGTCACATTGGCGTACTGTGTCGCTTGTGGCTGCAGTGGCTTTCGTGACGGTCATGGTTTACTGGAGGAAAACACGCTGACATCATCTCAGGAAGTGCCCTTGGTGAAATCAAAGTGCCCTTAAAATTTGGACAGTTCTCTGGGAAGACGGGTTATTGTGTTTTGTCCTGTGCAGTAGATTTGACTTTGGGGCAATGGTGACCTAGTAGTCTTGTTATATATATATATATATATATATATATATGATGAATTGATCTGAAAAGGGACAGTTGGTGCCTTTTGGTACAGTACACCACACTGAGCAAGTATTTATTAGTACCAATGTGAAACTGTATTTTTCAAAAATAGTTTTCTATTGCTCAAAAAAGAACATTGTAAGGTGTTTTATTGAACATTGTTTTTATTGAATCCTTAATCTTCTATTGATTTGGAATTAAAAGTAAGCCACTACAATTTTTTCACAGCACTAAATATGTATTATTCCTATGTATCTGAATGGACCAAATATATTTTAAATCGTGGCAAACATGCACACATGTTTAATAAAAATACTTTTGCCAAAGCGAAGTAATATTGAATTTGTAATTTACTGTAAGTGTTTGCTCTCCAACTCCACTTTCTGAGTAAAGTTTAGTTTGGTACCCTGCTTCCTCGATCATGGTATGGCCAGATCCCTCTTTCACTAATGTTTTATGACAGATGTTTAGGTTCTATGTCTCATTAAACCTGAAAGAATTGCCCCTCCCAAGGGTGGGCAATCTTACCCAGCAAGGCTGGTGTAGGTTTTTGTTCCAGCCTAGAGGTAACACACCTGATTCCACTAATCAACCTTGTATAATAGAATGACATGCAGTACTATGCTTAAACCACAAGATGTCGTAGTACGCTCATGAGAAATGTTGGCATATAATAAACAAAATCGGAATTGTACATAGTTTTGAATATTTCACATACTCAATTTAGTCTTAGATATAAATGGTAAGTCTTTCACCCAATCCTTTCTTTATTCTTATAACCAAGGCCATGATGACCATTGAGGATATTTTTATTCTAACAAGTTTTCCTGAGCTGCAGGTGCAAGACTCAAGCCCAGACACTAAAAGCAAATTGAGGTTTGGGATTACAGATATTTTAACCCCCCCCCCCCCCATCACTGATGTTTTATTGTATTGATATTACCAGGAATATGGTATTATGTCATTGAACTCAATGACAAGTTTTATTTCCCAAGGGCCTCTCAGTCGTTCTCCAGTGTTGGCACAGCTGTGAAAACTGCTGGTTGATCCTCAACGTGGGTAACGATGAAAGTCCTGTAGGCAAGGTTGTCTGACCACTGGTTGTCACATGTCACAGGTGTGGCGTAATTTGTAGTATGGCACACAGTAAAGGGGTGGGGTGTGTGTGTGGGGGGGGGGGGTTGGGGCAGGGGGTCATTGAGGAATCTGGTCCCGACCAGGGCTTGAGGTACAGCACATTTCCTCGAAAACATACAGGAAGGCAAACTGCCTTCATACAAGATTTATCATTAACATCTGCCTCCCCAGAACTGTTGTACCTTTTAGGAGCTTGTGAGTGCAACCTACCCTGGCTGGGCCCTAGAATGTTTTTTCTTCTGCTCTGCAGTGTGTATGCACAGTTAGTGATTCTGTTGTTAGTCCTTTACATTTATGACAAAATGAACACACTGGGTTATACAGACATGATGAATGATATTACATAACAACTGCCTCTCAATGAACCTTATTAGACTGCTCTGATCGCTAAAAGGAAATGGAAAACGTATGATTAATTATGTATTAATCGTCTCAGTGTAAGTATAATTAGCTATATTCTCAACCAAGGGCCGGATTCAATCAAAACTGCAGGAAACGGACACTAATGAAACATTCTGTTGTTCCCTGCACAAGGGAAGGTTTTTATGCCACTGGTGCAATGTGATTTTTATTCAATGCAGGTTCCTGCAGTGTGAGTCTGATTGAATTCTTCAATGCCAGTATTTTCCATTGCATCACATTGACAGTGTCCCTTGCACGTGACGATTCGCCTGTCTGCACCTGAGTACTGCTTTGCCTGGCCCATCTCCAACAGACATAGCTGTGTCTTAGCACAACATCCAAACAAAAAAGCGTGGGGATATGATCGAGCTCCCAAATGTTGCTCAGCAGATCAAAGGGGAACTCCTCCACAGTGGTTACACAATGTGTGACTGCCAGACATGTGCATGGCATCCTCCTCTTCTACAAAATTCATTATTTGGACAGTATTATTTACAAGGATGCAGCATCCAATTACTTTGAAGAATATTGGGTGTGCACGTATTTTTCTACCTCAGGATTCATATTTCTACAATTAGTCATCGACTGTCCAACGGTAACAGGGACGCCGATTTCTGGGCCTGGGGAAAGATTTAACTTTAATTTCCCCCCTCCATCTTAACGCCTGTGATTGGTAACATACATTCTGCATCAAACCATAAAACACCTGCTAAATCACATGCTCAACAGGCGCCTGTCATCTCACTCTAGTTAGCTAACATCTTTAGCCAATCTGCTGAAAATGGCTGTCACAGGAAATCTCAGCCATGTAGTAAACACAGAGCGAATAACCAGTGATCCACACAACTTCTAAAACGTAAAGGCAACCAAATGACACTCAGTGGTGCAGTAGATACAGAGGACAAACCCTGAGTGACATCAGCCCAGTCACCACTGCATCGTCAGAGAGGCTAACACATCGACAGTGGACTTGTCTCTGCACAAAACAGCCTACTGTACATGCATGTTGCCATTTATAAACGGATGGTCGTTTCTGACTTAGGTAATTTCTATAAAATGTCCTCTAATACTACGTGAACTTTAAACCACAGTTACCCCCTCATATGACATCAGGCCTCTCCTATGACATCAGAGGGTTAATAGTTATCTGGTGGTGATAGGTAAATCAAATTGAAAACTTCTAAAGACTGCAATAGGGAAGGATTGCTCCATGACACTGAACAAAAGTCGGTGTGATCCCATGTGGTCCTCTGTAGCTCAGTTGGTAGTGTATGGCTCTTGCAATGCCAGGATAGCATTGGGACCACCTATACGTAAAAAATGTATGCACGCATGACTGTAAGTCGCTTTGGATAAAAGTGTCTCCTAAATGGGATATATTATATATTATCATGGTAGCTAATGGCATCCTAATGTAGGTAAAGAAACAATAACCATTTCATGAAGTGCCGTACTTCAAGCTACAAGGCCCCCAACTCAGAGGTGAATGGCATTGCTGTGATAGTCAAAGCAAACAGAAATGGGCCAATTCTACTTGCCTGTCTCTCTGACTTTTGGAGCAGATCTTCTTAAGGGGTTATTTAGGACCACTTAGTCATCTCGGGGTGAGTCAACCACCTATGGATTCCCTTCTGCACCTGTTCAAACCCCAGGGTCTCCTGACCACAGTGGATGCCAGGGGGGAAGAACACAACACAAACCACTGGCACGTAGTGAGGGCAATGTACTGGAAGAAAACAAACACAGATAAAGGACACAAAAGCTGAGCACATCTATAATTGTATTATCAGAAAAGTTGCTTTACTATGAACAATCAGGCCTACTTCGCCTAAATTCCAACTGGACAATGTAATTATCACAATTCACACTGCAATAGTCTTCATGTGGACATATTACATTAAAGCAGTTTCCTTGATTGTCTGAATGTATAGCTAAATAACATTGAAACAAGCTTGGCGATGGAAATGTATATTGGCGATAGCTAACCTCTCCATTAGGAAAAACTCAAATAGAATGAGATTATGCAATTTAGTAACAGATAATATTAGACCTTCATAATGAACGTCTACATCAAAGGATGTTGTAAGACTTGATAAGGTGATATTTTGTGCAAAGAGAGAAGACTTTTGGCCTGAAGCCCAGTATGTACCCTGTGTTTGTGTCACAGCACCTAGCATTCAGTTACCCTTTTTCAATGTATAAAATCATGTTTTTTTGTGTTAAACCTTTTTATTATATTTCTCCAAACTTACACAAAGAGCTAAGTAAATTAGGTCCCACTTTAAACAAATGACAGCACCAGGCTTAATAAAGCATTCATAAACTGTTTTTTTAAGGCCTATGCATCATATCATTTATAAGCATGTCATACTATATACAGTGGGGGAAAAAAGTATTTAGTCAGCCACCAATTGTGAAAGTTCTCCCACTTAAAAAGATGAGAGAGGCCTGTAATTTTCATCATAGATACACGTCAACTATGACAGACAAAATGAGAATTTTTTTCTCCAGAAAATCACATTGTAGAATTTTTTATGAATTTATTTGCAAATTATGGTGGAAAATAAGTATTTGGTCAACAACAAAAGTTTCTCAATACTTTGTTATATACCCTTTGTTGGCAATGACACAGGTCAAACGTTTTCTGTAAGTCTTCACAAGGTTTTCACACACTGTTGCTGGTATTTTGGCCCATTCCTCCATGCAGATCTCCTCTAGAGCAGTGATGTTTTGGGGCTGTCGCTGGGCAACACGGACTTTCAACTCCCTCCAAAGATTTTCTATGGGGTTGAGATCTGGAGACTGGCTAGGCCACTCCAGGACCTTGAAATGCTTCTTACGAAGCCACTCCTTCGTTGCCCGGGCGGTGTGTTTGGGATCATTGTCATGCTGAAAGACCCAGCCACGTTTCATCTTCAATGCCCTTGCTGATGGAAGGAGGTTTTCACTCAAAATCTCACGATACATGGCCCCATTCATTCTTTCCTTTACACGGATCAGTCGTCCTGGTCCCTTTGCAGAAAAACAGCCCCAAAGCATGATGTTTCCACCCCCATGCTTCACAGTAGGTATGGTGTTCTTTGGATGCAACTCAGCATTCTTTGTCCTCCAAACACGACGAATTGAGTTTTTACCAAAAAGTTATATTTTGGTTTCATCTGACCGTATGACATTCTCCCAATCCTCTTCTGGATCATCCAAATGCACTCTAGCAAACCTCAGACGGGCCTGGACATGTACTGGCTTAAGCAGGGGAACACGTCTGGCACTGCAGGATTTGAGTCCCTGGCGGCGTAGTGTGTTACTGATGGTAGGCTTTGTTACTTTGGTCCCAGCTCTCTGCAGGTCATTCACTAGGTCCCCCCGTGTGGTTCTGGGATTTTTGCTCACCGTTCTTGTGATCCTTTTGACCCCACGGGGTGAGATCTTGCGTGGAGCCCCAGATCGAGGGAGATTATCAGTGGTCTTGTATGTCTTCCATTTCCTAATAATTGCTCCCACAGTTGATTTCTTCAAACCAAGCTGCTTACCTATTGCAGATTCAGTCTTCCCAGCCTGGTGCAGGTCTACAATTTTGTTTCTGGTGTCCTTTGACAGCTCTTTGGTCTTTGCCATAGTGGAGTTTGGAGTGTGACTGTTTGAGGTTGTGGACA